AGACTGACATGCATACTGGAAAACAGGTAATAGATACGAGCGATAAAACATAGAACGGCATGTATTTGGCAAATGAGAACGATGAGGATATAGTATGCCGAGAACACTACTAGTTTTCTTGCAAATATAGTCTACATGAGGAGCCCATGTTAGACAGTCGTCAATAATTATACCAAGGTGCTTATGTTCATGGACAATTTCTATGGTCGATGAGCTGCCAGGACATGATAAAGACACATTACAGAACTGATCACTAGCACCGCTACAGAAGAACATCACTTTGGTCTTACTAGTGTTCGGTCTCAGCTTCCAAGTCGACATCCAAGAGATGGTGGAGTTTATCTTTTTCTGGAGGTCATTGACTAGCAATTGCTTGCAACTATTTGAAGCGGAAACTGTGGTGTCATCGGCGAACAGTGAAACATTAGGGACAGACATCGGTAGATCATTGACGTAGACTAAAAAGAATAGTGGCCCCAGGATTGACCCCTGTGGCACACCAGAATTAATTGCCTGGGGAGACGAGAGGGTGTTGCCGACGCGTACAGCCTGTAACCTGTCAGTTAGGTAGCTTTCAAAGAAACAAAGCAGGTTGCCACCAATGCCATAGGCACCCAACTTGGCAATCAGGCCTCTATGCCAAACAGTGTCAAAGGCTTTCGCCAGGTCAAAGAAGCACATGCCAGTATGTTCTTTCAAATGTCGGGACTGCATGATGTTTTGGATTAGGTGGACTAGGTGCAGAGCTGTGGAGTCCCCGCGCCGGAAACCAGACTGCATGGTATGCAAGTACGGGGACAAGTGTCGATATAGCTGATCGTACACAATGCGCTCAAACAGCTTTGAAATACAGCACAGTAGGGAGATGGGTCTGTAGTTCGTTGCATCCGACCGGCAGCCTTTGCGCTTATAAATTGGGACCACTAATGCGTATTTCCATGCGGAGGGAAAGATTCCAGACGACAGAGAGATGTTAAAGAGCAGCGATAACGGATATGCTAGGCTGTCTTGGAGGTGTTTCAGGATTTCGTTTGGTATACCATCGTAACCAGGAGACTTCTTATTGGGGAGACTGCGTATGTATCTGGTTACAGTACGGGATGAAATCGTCAGCGATGTAAACGTTGACTCTACAGGTATTTGGTGGATAGGAGGAACTAACCATTCAGGTCTATCCTTAACGCAGAAGCTGGTAAACTGCTCATTCAGAGCATCCGCGATATCAAGAGGCGCAGTGGCGGAACTTTGGTCAGACCGTGTGATTGCTGTTGGACTAGAGCCCAATGACGATGCTGATTTACGAAGAGTTCTTATAAATGAGTGAAGTGATGGACGCTGGCTGTCGGTGAGAGAAGTAGTAATGGACTGGATGTATTCTTTATGGGCTACACGTGATAACGTTTTTGCTATATTCCGCTGACGTTTGTACTGCGTTGCATTGGACGGGGTAGGGTATTTTTTTATAGATGCTGTAGAGGTCATGCTTTCTCTTAATGCCTGCCCTGAGCACTGGTGTCATCCATGGTGGATCCTGGCGTGAAGGGCGGCTTCGGTTTCTGGTGGTTGACTGGTGATCGCGGTGAGAAGAGCAGACTGAGAGAGACGATTCGAGGACAGACGAGAAGTTAGAAACGGCTGTATCAATATCAAGGCTGCATAAAAGGTCACTCCAGTGAATTGCGGCAATTTCAGCATTGACGCCTTCCCATTGCGATTGAGTGAGCAAGTGATGGCTGAAGCGAGGCGGTGCAGTGTCAGATGTGGACTCTCCAGACTGTGCTATGTCTTTAGCTATGGAGAGCCTGCCGAGGACGATTAAGTGATCGGAGGCACCCAGGGGGCTCAGGGATTCAATGGATGTGAACCTGTCGGGAATGTTTGTGGCGACCAGGTCCAGGCAGCCACGGGGCCCATTGGATGTAAGATGGGTGGGGAACGTAACAAGTTGAGACAGTGCAATGGAGCGAAAAAGGTTACACAAGGCAGAGCCTGCAGCAGATGTTGAGTCGGAGGCACATCAGCTCTGGCAATGGGCATTAAAATCACCAGTTACAATGGTAGATGATGGAGCAGGTAGCTTAATGAGAGCAGTCCGCAGAGTGTCTACAAAATATTGTAGGTCAGCAGCGTGCTGGTTAGGGGGTCTATACAAGCAGGCAAACGACAGTGGTTGGGATGAACCTATGGGAGTAGCTTCAACAGCAATTGCTTCAAAGTTCTGTTGGCGAAATGAGTGAATCTCTCTCACTTTGCTGAAGGCGGCAGTGAGCACCAGGATGGCAACACCCCCATAGCCTCTGAAGGGGTCAGGGTTAGAGGGAGTTTGCGGTCGGTCACGGCGGAATACTGCATAGTTCGGCAAGTGTAAGGTATGGTTGGTGGTGAGCCAAGTTTCGGTGATGCAGATAATGTCAGGCTTCTTGGTATTACAAAGGATGGAGAGTTCACCGAGTTTGTTGTTTATTGAGCGTGCATTTATCACCGCAACAGACACGTGGGAAGAAGATTGAGTAGAATGGTTAGAGGAGCTGGAGATAGGATAGAAGGGCTGTGCAAAAACATTTAGTGTAGAGTCCAGGCTCGAGGAAACGGTTGAAGTAGTTGCAGGGTGTGGGTTGAAGGGGAGAGCGTTGGGATTTAGGATGCATGTACTGCTCATTTACCTACACTGTCAGAGGAGAAGCGCCATTCGCGAACACGTACGGAGGCAGGCCAGAAATCATCACGTTGGACCGTGGTGAAGTGCTCTTCAGGAATCACAACATGGGCATAGGCCAGTCCAAAATAGCGTGTTTCAGCCACGGAGCATTTGATGATGTGAACATCTTTGTTTGCGCACCACCTAGCTATTGCCTCAGCATGGCAGCCGCTGTCTATGTTGCTGACGTGGAGCGCTTTGCACCTTACGTAGGAGACCCTGTGTTGACTTCTTTGTCTTGTGGAAGTATGATGTGACTGAACTGTGCGTGTACGGTGTGGGTGTTTGGTCAGCTGGACGTTGGAATGATGGCGGTGGAGTACTACGGTGTGGCAGGCTCATCAGTTGGGCGCTGTAGAGCGGACGAGTGTTTGTGAGCCTCTGTTCAAACTGTACGGGTGCGTTGGGATTCAAATGCTGCTGCTGTGAACGTGGGGCTGGTGCTACGGTGGAATTCAAATGCTGTGGATCGGATGGGGAACTACTCGTACATGTAGGTTCATGGTGATCAAAAGGCATACCGGTAGGTTGGGTGGGCGGGATATGTGCGTGGGTTTGTGATTTTGAACTAACGTCTGCTAGCTGGCAACGGAGAGACTCAACTTCCGCTTTCAGGTCTACAATGGCGGACATCTGGCGAACTAGTTCCTGCACTGTCTTGGCCAACTCATCAATGCCAGCACTTGCTTGACTATTACTACTAGTATGTACATGTGACTGACCTGCATTACCGATCCCGTGTTGGCGTAGCAGGCGGACCATGGCAGCACGGTTCATATTGCTGGTGACCGAGATTTCATTTTTCTTGGCCAGGTCACGAAGTTCGTCAAAGCCGTGGATGGCAAGGTCGGCATTAGATAGATCCTCAGACATACTTTGTCCACTACTTCAAAATTACCATACGTGGAAACTAGTGGAAAACAACAGCTTAGTCATGCTCTGAAAGTCCGATTAATGAGGAGCAACCAATCAATGACCACACATCTATGCAAGAACGGAATTCATCGCTATGCTTTGGTGAATGTGGACCAAGAGCGCAGTGCGGAGAGGTGACGAATTTCAATTTATTTTCAAATGGCCGAGTTCGTCGCAACTTCTGAGTTATCTTCACCTTGCCGTTTAAGTAGAAGTAGTAGAAGTAGTAGTAGTAGTAGTAGTAGTAGTATTTTACTTGGGTATACCCAACAGGCCTATGGCCTTCTTACAGGGTGCCCAAGGAGAAATTGTGAGCAGCTAACGCGAAAAGCAGGCAAGGTACGCTTGGATCGTATGATCGCTGGTAGTGCACCAAGAGCAGTCAGCACCAAGAATTGAGAGACTGTAGAGGCCTGGCCGGGACATGAATAGGGGGAGAAAGAGACTATTGAATGTTTGGTCTCTGGTCTGGGAGGTAGTGTGGGTAGCATCATTTCGGGTCGTGAAGATTTGTGAGGTGAGGGGACTGCCAAGGGACCTGATGCACCGAAAAGTAAAAATGAACAGCTTCAAATGTCGGCAAGAATCAAACCTGACTAATGTATGGTGTAACCTTCACATCCGCACACGCTACATTTATCTGTGGTTGCTTGAGTAATGCAAGCGGGACTCTAGTAAAGGCCCTGCAGTGAGAGTCGTCACAGACTGGAAAGAAAATCACATCCATGTCGAGCTAAGCAGGAGTGTTTGCGATAGACCCAAGAACGCGACATAAGAGAACAAGCCACGGAATGTGAGTTTTATATAAGGAAGATTTTTCCTGAGACTCTGTCGGGCAGAGTTTTCGCATCCACACGAGTGTCAAACTTCTGCAGGATCAAGCCGCAGATCAGACCGACCATCAAGTAGTCAATGACCGAAAATCCCATTTGCTGCATCCATGTTTTCCTTGTGCCAGGCTACGAGTTACCAAATAACTGTGTGGCGAACCACACTTCCCCCATCCGATATACATGTATTTGTATGTTTTCATTGCCTATACGTTTCATTCATTATTTCAACGGTCCTTTGAAAGGAAAAGAAAGAACATGATCACGGCAGTGTGTTGGAAGAGTAGATAACGTAGAAGGTAAGTGAAACGGTCTCCCTCTGCAGTAGAGGTGTAAGTGGAATGAAATTCGGAAAACTTGGCCTGTCTTACATTCCTGCTCTGCTGAACACCCTATGTTTCTGGTGCACCTTGTCTGTGTAGACGCCGACACTGCCAGGCTAGCCTAAGAAGCACGGCCCCACCACCACTTCCCGCATTTGTTATGGAGCATACTGGGTATAATACTGCTTACATAGAAACATTCTTGAGCCACACTTACTCTACAGCGTAACTTACCTTAAACTGAAGCACCATGGTGCTCGTCTCTACTGGTTGCAACACTGTTCAAAACCTGCACTGGGAAATGTTCTCAATTACAATGGTAAATTCAAATCCGGCCAACAAAACCCTATAGGAGACAACAGAAGGAAAGGAACGATCGAGTTACTTTGAATCAATCGACATTCGACAAACAAAACTATCCAAAACTTTTCCACCTACCAGCTGTTGGTGTATATTCCTGGATCAATTGGGTGTAGCACACGAATCACGATAAAGCTCGTTTGCCTTGCGATAAGGATAACTGCTTCCGGGAGCAAAGCCCTAAATGAAACAAATTGATTACTAGTTGCTCGCTTTCTGCTTAGACTCTCTGCAAGCATATGCAAAAACACGCGCACGAGGAGTGCCATGATATCAGTCAGTGGTACTCCGTAGCAGCTCGATTGGCTGCTGCACGTAGACATCGTTTGCTGACCCACTAACACAAGCCTAAGAAATGAGCTACACGTACATGTACATGTACATGCACCCGTAACTAGATGGCTAATGTATACCAGGGCTATGAGTGGCACGCAGTGGTCACATGCCAGTGCTACTGTACATGTATGATCGACATATCATGGGCTCAAACACACAAGCTTATCGATAACTTGGCATAATTTCCTTACTCCATATGGGAAAGGATAAGAAGCAATGTGACGCCAATCAAAGAACATGGCAGGCTGCTACATGGACATTAGTCGCAAATAGGGTTTGGTCGACTGAACTCAGCCCCACATGACTTTTACATTGCGCCTGCGGCAAACCCGCTTGTCACTGCTTGTCATCAAGATGTCATTAGATGAACAGCATGAAATTGTGGAACGTGCCAAACACATTCTTGCTAGTCGCTATATTATGTGCGTACATGTGCGTATAGGCGATGTACAAGAGCCCCAATCAGCAAGACTGAACGCAGTGAAGGCAAGTCTTACCAGGGCGCTCAGATACCCACAGGGTCGTGTCAAATGCATAGAGAGAGGGAAAGTGACATCTGAGCTCCTAATCTACATCAAAGCGGTGCATTGCCTTCGCACAACATAGTTTGGGATATAGCTTGCGCACATGTTCACTTACTCCATCTTCCCCTCTTCGCTCTGACCACTCTCTAGAAAGTTTACCACACTGGGGAACACCATTTCGTTAATATCATTATTCCACGATCACGGCATATGCCGTTATGGATTTTTCAGAAGGCAATATTGGTACATGTACGTCACAAGATGCGTTAGACCATCACACCATCCCTGATCGTTGCGCTGGCGATGCCCAATGAGCAAAACTGGTTTCACTTTGGTGCAGTGTCTGTACGTTTGTGATCTGCAAGTAGTACAACTGCCGCTGAGGGCAGATATATATTGAGGGCGTGGGCGGACGGGGGGAAGGATGAAGAGCCGGAACAGAGGAGCATGGACAACACACAATTGCCTGAAACTTAGTGGATATAGCATCACTGGCCGCTCGCAAGGGTTCCTGACCTGGCTGGAACAGTCGATTGCTCTATAGATTATTCGATTCTCATGCCCTCAAGATGGTGAGCGTTGCAGCCCTTGGCATTATCCGCCTGGCTCGTGAATCACTGTACCTGCACGTGGTGATCCAATGTGCGATTTGACAGTCAGCTAGCCGTCTGGCAGGCTTCATACGCAGCCACATCCATCTGGTGAGACTTGATGCTAAGACCTGCAGGTCGTCTGACCCTCACGTGTCCAACTCACTCTATCTGCTCACAATCACATGTCCCAGTCACTCTATATGCTGGATATGTACATGGACTCTTATACTCAGCTTCTCATTGTCCATCATGAAAAAAGTGTGCTTTTGAAAAATCACACAATCCTCCTAGCCTGGGTGGTGCATAACACCGACGACAGGTAGACGCTGGGTGTTGGGGGGGGGGGGGGTGCACCCTTTCGGGGTCCAGGCAGCGCACGCATACAACAACATCCACCTGATATTATTATTATTATTATTATTAATAATAATCCCTCAAAACCAGTTAATATTTTATGACTTGGGGCTCCCCGCGTGCTAGTTTGTACGTGAAGTGTGTGGGTACAGTGAGGGCTGCGTCCCACCCGCCTGTGTGGATTCACAGGAAGTGTGAGTTACGAAGTCTGAAGAAAACATTGAACGGTCTCTGCTTGGATGACGACTACACCATAGCTCAGTGGTTAGAGCATCGCTGGCTACAAGCGAGGGTCCCTGGTTCGAGTCCTGGTGGTGACAGTCAATTTTTTCTTCAGACTTTTCCCGTTTGTCTCTTTCCCTCAAAACCAGTTAATATTTTATGACTTGGGGCTCCCCGCGTGCTAGTTTGTACGTGAAGTGTGTGGGTACAGTGAGGGCTGCGTCCCACCCGCCTGTGTGGATTCACAGGAAGTGTGAGTTACGAAGTCTGAAGAAAACATTGAACGGTCTCTGCTTGGATGACGACTACACCATAGCTCAGTGGTTAGAGCATCGCTGGCTACAAGCGAGGGTCCCTGGTTCGAGTCCTGGTGGTGACAGTCAATTTTTTCTTCAGACTTTTCCCGTTTGTCTCTTTCCCTCAAAACCAGTTAATATTATTATTATTATTATTATTATTATTCTCAATTCATGGATGACATGGTGTCAACCAATATTATGAATGAGGGCTACCAGCCATGGAATAAAAGAACAAGAAGGCAAAAATGCACACGCAAAATATGGCAAGTAAAAGAAATCAATCCAAAACCCAAATGAATTGTACAGGTAGCATATGTGATTTACTTTGGAGCTTGAAGTAATACACAAAGAGAATTGAAATCAATGATTAGTAAATGAAGATCGACGTACGTGTATATTTATCAAGCTTAAAAACGCATTGAGGGTGTTGCTGGACTTTAATTGCTGAGGAAGAGAATCCCATAATTGGTATGCTAGGAATACAGGCGATTTGCTCATAGAATTGTTTCTTGCAATCGGGAAACGAAGCGAGTTCCGGCTTGTTGAGGATTCAATGAACCAGCGGACTAATGCTGAACCAAAAGAAAACGCAAGCTCTGTTGATTACCCCAAGAGGCCCAGCCCCTGACACAGATAACATTCGAATTCGCTGTGGGAATGCAGCCCTTGCAGTTGTGGAACAAGCGCCGTACCTGGGCGTAATGGTAGATGGGCAGCTCTCCTGGGAGCCTCACGTCAATCACACAATCCAGCAGGTGCGGAAGTCAGTAGGTGCGCTGTGGCGGAGCCGCCGAAGCCTCACCCTGGCGTCAAAGATCCTGTTTTACAGGTCGATGATCCAGGGTAGGTTGTCGTACGCTTCCAACGCCTTTTATCCGTCACTTCAAATTGGCAACATGGAGCCCCTCACACGTCTAACGAAGTGCGCTATCCGCGGCTTCTTCGGTCTGCCACCGTGGTCGCGCACGAGCCCGATCTTTGAACAGCTCCGCCTCACCACCCTGGAGGACATGTTTAACATTAAGCTCCTCATCTTTGTCCGTCGTTGTCTGTTCTCCCGAGCTAGCTCCCTCTTCACCAGCTTCTTCGTGAGAGTTACTGGTGACCGCACTCGGGGAGCAGCACATCACCTCGTTCGAGTACCATTTTGGCCCGGTCCTGCGGGTCGAGCGACCATGCAGTTCATCGGCGCAGTCCTGTGGAACCAGCTCCCGCCTGATCTCCGTTCCGAGCCCAGCCACCTTCAGTTCTGTGCCCTGCTAAAAGCGCATCATGGCTCCGTTTAAATGCTTTTCGGCTAGTGTGTTTCTGTGGTATAGCGGACTGAAGAATAGTAAACGTGTTTTGCAATATATGTATGAAGCTATTTTGTATATAGTATGTTCCCATTCCGTTTTTGCTTTGGTGTAGCCCTGAGGTTGATTGCTTATTTATTTCTACCCTTCCTCTCTCCATACTTCTGTCCCCCCCCCCCCCCTCTCTCTCATTCCTTCTGTCGTCCACATGTATCAAAGGAGGCGAAATCGCCTGTTTGTGGTGCGACGTTAAATAAACTTCTACAACAACAACAAGTTTAAGGAATGCTGCACATGCTGAGGGGCAGTGATAAGTTTGATTTTGTGAATGTATACGCAGGAGGATCGGTCAATGTAATGTTTCAGAGGAAATGTACAGCAATTTTCATAGAGAACGGCTATGTTGGTCTCGGGCGGCAAACGAAGTATTGCCCGGAGAATTCGTCGATGCACAATCTCCAGCTTTGCAAAGAGGCCATTACCAGCGCCACACCACACCACACAGCAATACAAGAAAATAGGCAAAACGTATGTATGATAAAAGGTCTTTCGGCATTCTGGTGAAATGTGGGGGAGATGGCCATAAAGAATACCGACGACTGAGCTTGCCCGCTTTTCCAGATTCCGGAAATGGTGGGACCAGTCCAATTTGCTATCAAGTGTAACGCCAAGGTGCTTGTGACGAGAGGTTATAGGTATCGGGGTAGGGTCATCTGGGAAATGGAAAATAGAAGTTTGAAGATGTGCAACATCTGATGACGCGTTGGGGACAACACACATGATCTCGGTCTTGGCGGAGTTCGGCCGGAGTTTCCACCTTCGCATCCACTTGACCACACAGTCTATTCCTACCTGCAGGTCTTGACACGCGACGGGGAGCGACCGGTGACTAGCCAGCAGAGTGGTGTCGTCCGCATATAGCGAGGTGTTGGGAATTGCACCGATATCATTCACATACATTAGAAAAAGCAGGGGCCCCAGAATTGATCCCTGGAGGACACCAGAACACACGCAATCAGGTTGGGACAATTGACCCGAGATACTCACTTGCTGTGAGCGACCACACAGGTAACTCTCCAGCCACCGCAGTATGCGTCCTTGAATCGAGAATGATGCTATCTTAGCCATCAGCCCACGGTGCCACACAGTATCAAAGGCTTTAGATAAATCGAAGAAGCAGACTAGGCTGTACTCGCTGCGATGGCGATTGTCATGCAGGGATTGAACAACTCGAAGTAGCTGCCAGGCTGTTGAATCACCTCGACGGAATCCGGACTGTGATTGATGGAGATATGGATCTACATGTGCATATAATTTGTCATACATTATTCGCTCACACAGCTTTGATATCGTTGAGAGAAGGGATATGGGACGATAGTTCGTCGGATCCGTTCTTGCGCCTTTGTTTTTGTACAGCGGGATGACGACAGCAGCTTTCCAGGCAGTTGGAAAAATACCGGTGGAGAATGACAGATTGAATAGCAGACTCAAAGGAAGCGATATCGACGGGCCAATCAATTTCAGCAGCTCGTGTGTAACTCCATCAGGTCCCGCAGCTTTCCGGAGCTTTAG